GGAGCGAGGTATGCGATTTTTCAACACTTATTTCTTGAGTCTCAACAGATCTCTCAAAGCAAAAAAAAAAGTGTGAAATCTGATTACCTGGGTGCTCTCTTCATGGCCCATGAATGGTACAGCAACATCCGAAAGAGGACCACGACCAACAATCGGCTGACCCAGATTTCGTCCAAACGGCATATTCCCATAGCCAGCTGCCGCAGCCGCCATTGCTGCAGCTCCTCGGACCATCGGGCCACGGTAATTACGATCCGGCGGGTAGCCACCGTAATCAGCCGAGTAGCTCGGATCATAAAACATCGACTCGTACGGTTTTGTTGGTCCTTTGATTGGAATCTAAAAAAAAAGTGCAAATGGTAACTTCTGGCCGATAATACTCAGTTAAATTGAACAGCTGCTAAATGCCGGTACCGCAAGAGTATTGTGGACCGGCTATGCATCCCTCGAGAACGAGGATTTCTGGGATTTGATTTCCGGGACCATTGAGATTTTTAGTGATACTCCCCTCAAATACTACCGACTTATACTCAAAGATCAACGAGAGCACCTGTCACCTCTATACCATCATCCTGCGCCCCACTTTGTTGGTCGAATGTATTCGTTTCGCAGGAATATCACCAAAACGCGGTGTCCATCGGCTGTCAGCAAAGCTAACAACGTCATCCGTCCGTCCGGAACTGCAGTCTGACAACAATAACAGCAGCTTATTCTGCCCTCTCCCCCTCTTTGTTCCTCTTCGTAATACCATGACCAACATTTCGTCTTCAAGTGGCCAGCCGGCTGTGATTACTGCGTTTGCTTTCCTGCCATTCTTCAGTCCTCAAAAGCTGTGTCTCTTCGCCTGCTTCGCTTTCGCATTCCCCCAGTTCGCCTGATAACAATCCTTTTCCCACGTTCTTTCGGTAATGGTCATCTTCTGTATGGGTTTTACAGACCTCTACTTTATTTGTTATTCTTCGGCCCACGTATGCCCGCAAATGGCCACCACACATTTACTACAACCCGATATTCCAGCTTGGAATGACTATCGACACATAGATAGTCGTGGATTAGTCTCATCAACGTATCGACACATAGATAATCGTGGATTAGTCTACTGTAAAATATTTATATTCTAAGATAGTCAAACTTAAGTCAGCAATATCCGGGCTAGCATTACCTCCCATGGGTACTTCTTTTATTTGTTCAAATATTTTACCTGGCTGTACCTCCACGGCCCTTTCTTTCCTATTTCAGAACAATACGAACAAAATATGCCATCGATAAGCCTACTTTTTAAAATTATAATTGCTTTTTAATCGATTCCGAGCATTTAACCATGCTGAAAGACATAATACAAGCCAAATGATACCTCTTTGAGTATTTCGATGATGTGGTTCAAGCACTCTATCACTTTCTGCGGTGGCCCTTTAATCTGCACAACACGTTCGGTGGACTGCGGCGGACACTGCGCAAACACCTGTAATACATTCACGAATTACAATTAAATGAACTGATGCATTTCAGCGATCCACCGAATCATACTACTAAAAACCAAAATTTCTTGACAGATTCACAAATTCTGAAAAAAGAAAAGAAAAACGGCTTATGTTCGAAGCCAAATAACCAATGCAGGAACTTAAAGAATCGAAAAAACCATAAACATCAATAACGCCTGAAAATTCGGTGAGAAAATCCATGGATACAGAATTTCAATAAAAACAAGAGGAAAAAAACAAGTCGCAAAGAAGTTGTTTTTACCAATTTTTAAAAAAATGAGAAAATGAATGTAAGAGATAAATCCCAGCGCTTAAGGTGGCGTGCAAAGGAAGCACATCGTACTAAGTTGGCACTCTTTACCAAGATTATCAAGGTCGCTCGATAAAGCTAAAAAGCTAAAACTGTTATACCTCTGCTTCTAAAAAACCATCGAAAATCCTGGCAATGAGTGCCCCCTGTTCAAATTCCAAAGAAACTAAGGTACGATGAGGAATTTGACTTGACAGGTGGATTTTTAATAAATTTAAGTGCACCTTCATCTGTATGCCAAACTCCTCTTTCATCTCTTTGATCTTCACTCCCTGTCGTCCAATTACTGCGCCAGCATGAGACGAATGCACAAGGAAACGAAGCTCTGCTGGTCGGTTCGGATCACCAGCACCTCCATCACGAACCTGCAGCACCAAGTGAGACATTATTCATACTAACAATAGAAATAACCTTATAGATAACTCTCTGAAAATTTCCTGGATTGAATATGGAACCAATAACCCTTTTTGCGGTAAGATTTTATATCAAATTTACTTCATACTTACACACTGTAACTTTTATTTTACCTATACTAGTTTCAGTAACATAACTACTTAAATAAAACTCAAATTCATACTAATTGCCACAACTGTCACACTGGCAAGGTCCAACTATGGCAATAGCAAGAAATGTATACGACTTAATGGACCGAAACCTTTCTCACCACAAAATTTACCATATTTTACAATATTTTTCAAATTTTATTAATTTCTTAATACTATGTGTTTTTTCTTCTTCGAACCTTAAAATATTTTTATTATTCCCCAAATTCAAACTGTTGAAAGTGCAGCAAAAGCAAATCTTGTTCAACAAGTGCAGTGGCTCATTATGTGAGTGGCAGACAGAAAAAGAAGGCTAACCTCATCGAGTTTGGGGATAATTTCGGTAACAATCGCAAGCACATTTTCCACTGTCGCAACGATTGTCGCAATTCTAAACAACGAACACAGTGTATTGGAAATATTCGGATCCATGTGCCAATATCATAATATATGCATAGAGTTACAACAAAAGTTAACCGGGAGTATCAGCCATGGGGAGTTGATCCGGCATCAACTGCTAGCGGAACTATGCTACCATTTTTCAGCCAAATTTGAAATTCATCCATTCAAAATGCAAAAGAAATACCTCGCTGCTCAATTATGCTCGTATATCTGAGTTTTCATATACTACTAATACTAAGATATTTCAGGCAATCGGCGGGGCAACCTTATTTTGGCGAATTTTACTAGGATCCTAGGCCACATCAAGTGAAATTCAATTATGTATCAAAAAAAAAAATCACACGTCTTTTAATGAGTATTTTTGCAACTGCACATAAAAATACTTGAGGATTTTGATGATAATTTTGAATTTGATAATAATAATAATTCGGAATGATGATAATTTATATTGATTAGAATATGTTAAAATTAATAAATTCAGTTAATACAAATGTGCATATGAGGAAACGAGACGGGAGCAGGGAATTACCGTTCAGGAGTTTGGCTATCGGGGACCGTCACAATCGCATCATACTGCAAAAGAAGATACTATTTAAAACATTGTAGCAGAAAACTTGGGAAATGGAAACAGAACACAGGAGGACACCAAAGATAGGTGGTGGTTTG